CTGCTCGCTTGTCTACGCTGCTCGCTTATTAACTACGTTATTTATATTATAAATATAAAAACTAATAAAGAAAAAGATTTTAATTAATTTTAAATATTCTTTTATATTATAGTTAAATTATTAATAGTTAAAAAATAAAAGGTTAGGTAAAGTAGTTTATTTACTTATTTAACTTACTTATTTATTAACTATATTAAATCTATATCTAATATAATAAGAATATAATATAATAATTATAGTTTTTTTAATTAATATTAAGATAAAAATATAAAATAAACTATAAGTTTAACTAATATAATTTAATAAATAAAGTTTTTATAAATTTTTATAATATTACTTTTATTTATTTAAAACTTATTAATTTTATTATTTATTATTATATTAATATATAAATTAAGCTTTTTATAATATTATTAAAGATATTCAATATTTTAATATTTATTATTTAAATTTTAAATTATTTAAAACTTATTATTTATTTCTTAATATAACTTTAAAGTTTTAATAATATTTAAAAAATTAAAGTAATAATATTTAATTAATTTATATATAATTTATTATTATATCTATTATATCTATACTAGTATACCTATTATTATAACTAATGATATATATATACCTAGTATAAAAATATTTAAGTAACTTAAAAAGTCTAGCTAGTAAAGAGAATTATTAATCTATATATTACTTCTAACTATATATCTACTAGTAAATAGTACTTATAGAGTATTATAAATCTATTAACTAATTCTTAGTCTTAAGTTAAGAACTTATTAGAAATAATAAGTTATTAGTTACTTATATTATAGTAGTATTAGTACTAGATACTTCTATAGCTTAATAATATTTAACCTTTAAAAAACCTCTTATTAATATAATTATTTTTAAAGTAATTATTAAATTTATATATTAATATCATTATAAATTATTATTAAATATAAAGTTTATTAATTAAATATAAATATTATATAATTTAAAAAAAGATCTTTTATTATAAAGTCTTTTTTATTATTAATAAAAGTAATAGAATATTTAGCTTTAAATATAATATAATTAGATATTAAGAATACTATCTTCTAGGATATTAAGTATAGATAGTATATTAAGTAACTTTTCTATATAAAAAGCTAAGAAATCCTACCGTGGGGTAGTCTCACGAGGGACTGAGAATTAGTCTCGGAATCATGGCCTAAAAACCGTGGCAAATGGCAACAGACTCCTCCCATCAAAAGCACTCGCCCGTGCAATGGGCATCCCAGCGTCGCATGACGGCGCAACACACAAGTCTATCATGAGGAGAATTCGGGGAACGTCGAGGTCCACTTCCAACACACAAATCGAGAAAAGAGAGGAAACAGATGAGTTGTTTACAGACACTTCAATAATCTAGCTGCACTTACCCAGTCATTCGCAGTGCTTACATAATACAGCAGACCTGTCCGCCGATGCGCCGCCCCACGTCACCAGCTGTCAGCCTGGCCTTCGACCTAAGCAAGCGCCATCGAATCAAACCATCGAAAGTAATCACTGTGCCGCTTGATTCATCAACACCAACCTTTCTTCTCCTGCCGCCCATCGATTGCCTTAGCATACGCTCTTTTTGAACCCAAAGAAAACAAAATACATGGCGGAACGAGCCCTCACTCAGTTGCTGGGCCAGCTCAAGCACTCACCGTCGATGAGTTATGACGAGGCAAACAAGCTGCTCTCCAAGGCCAAGCTCGCCCTTCTGCGCCTGCACGCGCTCACGCCCTCGCCGAAACTTTCGTCGTCGCTCCTCGCCCTCGCTCGCGAGACGTACGAACAGGGAGCGCTCTTCGCTATCCGCGCTCGCAATCCCGACGCCTTCACCCGCTACGTCCAGCAACTACAGCCCTTTTACGAGCTGCCCTCGGCGCGGCTCCCGCCCAACCTGCCCGAGCGCAACAAGGTCACCGGCCTCGGCCTGGTGCTACTCCTCACCCAGGGCCGCTACGCCGAGTTCCACTCTGACCTCGAGAGCCTCGCCAACAGGGACGGCGGCGGCACCGCGGGTGACGTCGAGGGCGACCGCTACTTGGGTTATCCCATCCGGCTCGAGCGCTGGCTGATGGAGGGCAGCTATGATCGCGTGTGGAAGGCTATGAAGAGCAGCGAGGTTCCCTGTGACGAATACAGCGTATTTTCGGAGGTATGTGCCACCCCCTGCTGCCATAGAGAATTCTCCAGCATTTGAACTTTGACTCGTGCGCAAACTAACTTTACTTTAGATTCTCGAAAACCAGATTCGCTCCGAGATCGCCAGCAGTAGCGAACGTGCATATCTCAGCCTGCCCATAAGCTCGACCAAATCACTTCTCTTCCTTGACTCCGAAGGCGACGTCGTTCAGTTCGCCCAACACCGTGGCTGGATCGTCCGCGATGGCCACATTTACTTTCCCCGTAAGACCACTGATGGTGGTGAGGAATCTGTACAGAACAAGGATGTGAGCCTAATGGTCATCGAAAACACGCTGGGATACGCTCGGGAGCTGGAAACTATAGTTTAAAATAGAGGCCATCGCATGAGCATGCAAACGACACCAATGTACTACTAAACACTAGACTCTGTACTCCTGGCCAGCTCAGACATCGTGCTGTAGATTATCATGACTTTTTTCATGCCTTTGCTATAAGCTAGGCTCACACTTTTTTTTTCTTTTGCTCACATTTCTTTTTCTTTTTCTTTTTGTTAAACATTCCACGTTCCCAACTCTGAGTATAGAATCAAGATAGCCCAGCGTAACGTTTCTACTGGTCGTGACCGAATTATCTCGTTACTGACCTTCAAGCAACTTCTCCATCTATATGTCTATGCAACTAGCCGCAGCCCGCTTCCATGCTTACCAACCTCACAAACCTCGCAAACCTTGCACAAAGTGCCCTTGTATTTGGAATGATACTTAGATCCGTCAAAAGCGCACTCTTCGTACGATGTTCCGCTATAAATCGGTGTAAAGCTGGCCGCGCAAACCTCGAACTCGGCGAATTGATCGAACTCGATTTCAATAGCATCGTTAGGACTGCGCTCACATGCTGCCTTGGCCTTCTTCGCCTACAAGTGTTTCGCGTTAGCATCTGTCTCGTTGCTAACGAACAATGTACATACCGCATCTACAATTTTGCTAGCGCCACCATTCGCAATGATGCGGTTGGCAAAGCTCAGAGCACTATTGTAGTTTCTATTTCTGCTTGCCAGTTGCATGGCGCTGAGCAGAGCGAGTTGCCTATGGGGAACCTCGATCTTTGGTATCGTGAAGTATGCCGAGAGTTCAAGGCTTCGCTTCAGCTTTTCGACATCACCTGCTACGACATCTGCTGCGCCTAATTGTCTTCGAGCGAGCTCAATGCTCATAGCGACAGCGTACTCGCTGGCTGAAGTAATGAGCTTCTTAGCCTCGGCAACCTCGCCTTCACTTGATACGGCGTTCACGAGAATTGTGTGCAAGATGCCCTTGAAGATCTTGACACCATTTTCCAAATTGTTCGTCTTCATGGAATCGTACCCGCGCTGCAGCTCATTGGCAGCGAGATATTCGAGATCTCGAGGAACGATAGGAAGTACCTGGCGAAGATCACTTTCATCGATTGTGCGGCGTATGTAGTTAATAAGAGGTGGCAAACCGGCGGACGCGGGAAGAAAGGTTCTGGATGCCTTGTAGACCTCCAAAAAACGAGGTTTCAACGCAGCAAAGCTGACCGCACCAACCTGGCGGTTTAGCAGCTGCATGGCTGTCTCAAAGGAACCGCCAGCAATATGGTCTACCGCAAGGGGCGAGTTGCGAGCCCACAGATCAGCTTCGCTGCTGCCGGCGCCTCCAGCATCGGCGGTATCCACATTCACGAAGTCGCTGTCAGCCTCGGGTAGGTCTTCATCGCCCATATCCCAGCCGGCGACATCTTCATCATCGTCATCTACAGTGGCCGCTCCGTGAGCCGACGCGCCGCCGTCTTCCATAGCGTCTTCAAACCCGGCCGCAGCATCAGTATTGTCTTCGAGGGAAAGACCTTCCACTTGGCCGAGAAGTGCCTTTTCAAAGAATGACTGAGATGTAAACTTCGTAGGCCAGTTCTGCTTGAAGGTCGGTACAATAGGCTTAGGTGAAGCAAAAGGTTTCCCAAGAGTGGGCACCGTTAGTTGGTCTTCCGTGATTCCAGTGGCCTCTAGAATGGCCTGACATTCTTCCTCAAGACCATGGGACTTGGCAGCCATGTAGGCCAGGGGGTCTATTTCCTGAGTCAGCAACAGCGTGAATATCTCCAAGACAAGTCCACATACAAAGATCAATTTCCTTGAAAATTTGGATACGATCCTTGACATCACCCAGGTACAGAGCATTGTGAAATCGAGCAGTGAAGTCGCCACGGTGCTCAGCAATCTTAGCCATACGCGAAAGCTTAGAATGATCCCCGGTAGCCAGGTAAAGAAAAGACAGCTTGTCGAACTGCTTCAATTTTTGGTAGCACATTTCAACGACTTGGTGGTTGCCATGGGACAAAGCCTCAATACTGAGTCTGTTCCAGAATTTGGGCTTGTCAATTTCTTTGGCCATTTCTACCGCAACATCCAAGTTGCCGCATTCGATCGCGAGATCAAATCTGGTGGTAGGGTCTTGAACAAATTGCAGAGCAATATCGGGGTACCCCTTCTGTTGAAGATATGAGATGATAGATTGACCGACGAGACTAGAATTGCGGATGATGTGAAGCATTTCCTCATAATTGCGCTTAACCAGCGCGAGTTTGAAACGATATTCTGTGGGGTCAATCTGGAGGATGCGCGGCTTTGCAGACCTGTCCAGGCAGTAGACATTGCGTCCCTTGACACGGACAAGATATACGGTTTGATCCAGCGTTCTGACGATGCCGTTATCACCGTTGAGAAGGGTGTACTTCACGTGATTCAAGGTGGAGTACAGAAGCACACCAGCATCGTCCCAAGTCGCGCTCTTGATTCTGATAGTTTCATGCAGCGTGCTCACTTGCTCAAGCGTCTTGGTGACAATGGTAACATTGTGCTTGCTGAGAAGCGCTGCATATAGACCGTCGTTGGACCAGACCACGTACTTCACACCGTTGACTACAAGCTCAGCTGTGCTCTTCTTCTGTTGAATGTCGTAGAGATGAACGGCAGTAGCGGTAATAATGAGCAAGTTGCCTGTGCCACCAAAATAAATATCAGTAGTGCCGGATGGCGCTTTAAAAGACCGCGTCGTTGTGTTTGATAGGTCCTTGATTTCGATGGTCTGGGTGGAGAGATTGAGAACAGCAAATCTGTTTCTGGCCACAAATATGGCCGAACTTCCAGGACCACGTTTGGATTCAGTGGGCTCAATGTTACCACTGCCTTCCTTTGGAAGATTGACAAGCTCATATGAGCCGTCATCGGCAGAAGTCGTTACGAGGACAGACCTCTCAGCGGGGTTATATGACAGAGTTCGAGGCGCAACCCACGCACTGCCCAGCTTCTTCAAGGAGAGAAGAGTCGGGCTCTCAATGTTCTTCTGGAAATCATACGACTTGACGAGCTTCTCCTTGCTTAGGAAAAAAAGTGCATTCTGGTGAACAGCAGAGGCAGGTCGCTCACGCTCCAACTTGAAGACCATAACACCATTATCATGACCAGCGGCGAATAAGTTAATTTGTGGATGTGCGGCGATTACCCAGAACCTGTCATTCTCGCGCTTGAATGTTTGTACCGCCGTTCTCTTGTTCAAATCCCACACCCGGATAGTCTTGTCGCCACCTGTCGAGAGAATCAAGTCTTGATGAGGGTGAAACAAGCATCCCTCTGCGTTTTGAAAGTGTCCTCGGCAAGTGTCCACCTCCCAAGCCTTGGTTTCGCTCATGCGCCAAAGCTTTACCAGCCGATCATCACCAGCTGAAACGATCAAGGGCATATGAGGATGGAAAGCAACCCAGTTGACACCGCGATCGTGGCCCTCCAAGACGAATTTGACGACAGCATCAGTGTTTCCAAACATATCAGTTTGGTTCTGGTTGGAGCGAGCGACCTGGTCCTCGAAGCTCATGGACGTAGGGGCGGAGTGCTTCTTTCGAAGCCCGGAAATATCCCAGACACGGACAGTTTGATCGAGGGAGGCGGATACGACGAGATCTTCTTTCGGATGAAATTGGGCGCACATGGTGTAGTGATTGTGTCCGGTCATAGTGCAGACTGTTAAGAATGGTCAGTCCGAATTGCAGATTTCAGCGACAGACGTTCCGTACTTAGCGAGCGGTTCTGCCAGTTCCAGATTCGAATTGTCTGATCATCCGATGAAGAAATGATCCAAGGAAGCTCGTGGTGAAAGAACACGGTACGAACGTAATCCAAGTGGCCATTGAGAGTGAAGAGGCATCGTCTTGTTTGGTATGACCACACCTTGATCTTGTAATCGTCACCGCCGGACACAAAGAGAGGTTGGGTTTTGTGAAAGTCGACGCCACGGACTGGGCCATCGTGCTCTTCGAATCTATCAATCAGAGTACCCATACGATAATCCCAGAGTTGGATGGTGGATGAATGGAGTGTGACGAGGATCCACGGTCTAGGTGGGCGCTATTAGCTCTGTACGAAATAGTCGTCGCGCGAACGAACGTACCTCTTGGGATGAAAGGCAAGACCTTTCGCCCTGGAAGATTTTGACTCGAACTAGGAAATCGTCAGTGTGAGGTGATCAGATCGCTACAACTGATAGTTCGCGCACCTTGGTTAACATATTAGGGGAGGACGACATTGTGGCGGGGGATTGAAGTCGCAGCTTCGTGTACGAGTCAAAACTGAACGACGCCAGCCAGAATATCGATACAGAAGACTACTTGATTCAGGTCGCCTGGTAGTTACTGCAAGTGCAGGCTGGCCAACCACTCAGCGTCGATAAGTGTTGTAAATGGTGGTGTAGTGGCATACAGTTGCGCCTCCTTGACAATAGAGCTTCGTGTCCATCTCCATTTGTGGGCTGGTTGGTTGAATTGCCCCGCAACAATGTTCCGCCGACCAGCAGCACACACCGCCCAGTGAGCAAGTCAAGAGTTACTAATAATAAGACCCCGCTGCCAAACAATTCTGCCACACCTATCGCGTCTGGAAGTTGGTGGATAGCAACCAGGCGCTAAACCCTTTCTAGGGAGCCTTCTTGCGACGGTGTCAAGAGGACGAGCTTCCGGCGACGGCTGCCGACTATTTACACGGGAAGATAAGGTGTTGTACTGAAAGCTGTGCTACCGTGGCTGATTTAAAGTCCCAATTTTGACGATTAGAATCCTCTGAACTCTAGAATCACTGTACTAGGTGCCCCAGGATGGCCATCCGTCTTGGAAGTGGGCTGCTTGTTGCATTGTTGGCTTCATCACAGGTGTCTGCTTCACCAGCTGTCAACGTTCGTATGCAAGCGGCTTTTAATAGCGGGCCATATCTACTTGAACTACTGTATGGCGATTCAATTGTTCTTTCCTCGATATTCAACTGCTAACAATGTGCTAGTGAAACTGCGACGGCCGAGAACTCTTCTGCCTACTTTCCCCTACTCGATCGAATCGCTGGCGGGCAATTCTCCAGATCATCCACCGAAGCTGAGCTTTACAATGAGTTTATTAGCGTTGTCCGGGATGATGGCCACATTAGCAGCCCAGAGGCGCTGTCCACATTCAACCTTGGACTCTCTCTACGCTCTTCCGCCCCAAGAATTGAAGCACATTATCAATATTATGATACAGCCGTCGCGATCGCAGAGATAGATCTTTCCTGCGAGGCGTGGGTTCTTTTGGAAGGAAATCAGTACTGTACTCCGCAATTGGACGCCGCCGTAAGGAATGGGCTGCTCGACCCGTATGACCACTTACCACTACGTGCTTCTGACCAAGGCTATCCATTTGCTTACCCAACATGTCTAGGAATATAACTGCTTTACCGTTCGACCGCTCCATTGGTGCTGGCAAACATGTAGTTCTATATGTGGATCCTGCATCTCCTCACTTCAGAAAGTTTCACGCGCCGCTCCGGATTGCTGCTGAAGCCGGCGAATACAACTACCGCGTACGATACCGACGTCCAATAAATGCTAGCAATAAGGCGTTGCATGTCAGCGGCTTTGGGGTCGAACTAGCACTGAAAAGAACTGATTATATCGTCATAGATGATAGGGCGTCGCAAAGTGATGCAAAAGCACAGAAGCCCTTGGATACAGAGGCTATATTTGAGGAACAAGAGTTGACAGACCTCCGCCCGCTTTCAACCTCGGAGCTAGCAACTCTCGGTATGAAATCCTCCTCGTTCATTCAAAGTAGCAAAACTCCTTTCGAGACTCTCGTCAAACTGATGCAGGACTTCCCCAAATTTTCTGCATCAATCTCGGCGCACAATGTGTCGGCAAACTTTTCCGAAGAATACCAGCGAGGCCATATTCAGCGTGTACCAAGAGGAATAAATGCGTTGTGGATGAATGGGTTACAACTCATAGAACGCCAAATCGAACCGTTCGCCCTCGTTGAGATGCTTCGTGATGAGCGAAAGCTCATCGATGCCGTTCGCAATCTGGGGTTAAACGGAGACGAAGCCATATCACTGCTCGGACATGAAAGCATCGCAGCAACGCAGTCAGATGCGGGAGGAACAATGAGATTCGACTGGACCGACAAACCAGAGGATGGTCAGGCGATCATTTGGTTGAATGATCTGGAAAATGATGACCGCTATGACCAATACCCGGACGATTTGAGCTCTGTTAGTTTTGCTTGCATGCGAATGTGTGTCAGTTCTTAACTAATCATGCGCAGCTGCTCCAACGCACGTTTCCAGGACAGATCCCACCGATCGCCAGGAACATATTCAACGTTGTTACTGCCATTGACCCCTCGGATGCGGACGACCTGACAATTTTGGGTCAATTAATGGCACTTATTGGCCGTGGGATACCGATTCGCTTCGGTATTGTGCCTGCCGCATCAAGCCCAGAATCTTCAAACCTAGCGAAAATTGTATATCATTTGATAAGAACGTATGGCTTCGAATCACTTCGGAATTATATCGAGAGCGTTGGTGAAGAGCCCAACACAGCCCTAGGTGAAGCCAAATTTTCTCAGATCATCAATGGCCTGACGCCAGTCGCTGGAAATCACCCAATAAAATTTCTCGAAGTCATGGAGAATGATGATTTCAACTCACGACTAGAAATGGCTGGCCGATGGATTTCTAGACTCAAAGCCTCAGACAACTCCTCGCCAATATTCTTCGTTAATGGAGTTTCAACGCCTCGTGTTGCGAACTGGTTACAAAGGATGAGTATGCAAGTCTCAGAAGATCTTCAAACAATCCAGAGAGGCATATACCATGGTGTCATCAGTGATGATGTCTGGGTCCCAGGTATCTTTTTGGAAGGCGCATTACTTCGCCGCAATGAGTATGTATCTATCGATGATGCCCATCCTCTTCGAGTTCTAGATGTCAGCAAGCTATATGGAGACCACAAGGACCTGTTCGGCATCATTCCGGTGCGAAACTGTGACCCCCAAACAGAAAGGGAATCATGGGCTGCCGTAACCGTTATCACTGATGCGATGACTTCGCGCGGCGTGCAGCTTCTCATATCAGCCCTCAAATTCAAGCAGAGTAGGCCGGGCGTGCGACTTGACATTATCCACAACCCTGCCACTACAGAAAGGGCTTCGGACCTCAGCAAGTCTTCGAGGGCTGAAGCTAGTCTTCTCGGTCTTGGCATGAGCGAAGAAGTTGAGAAAATAGTGCGAGAGGCGGAGGCGAGTTCCTCGACTGGTGCATATGCCGTTGCCCTGAAGCGATTCCTATCCTACGCAAAAATACAGCCAGGCAGCAGCTGTGTAATTCTAAATGGGCGCATGATTGGCCCAATTGCACCAGAGCATATATTTACCGAGGATGACTTTGTACAGCTCTTGGCTTTTGAGCGCAAAAGTCGGATTCTCCCTGTTTTTGAGGCCCTCGACGATCTCGGTCTAGGCAATAGGATTTCTGGACCTATTTCTGCCGCCAAACTGACGTCTATTGCCGCTCTATCAACCATTTCCAACTTACCGGAAGGTATATTTGAATCATCTTCATCTGCTCGGACCATGATCTACAGAAAATGGGATGCGAAGCACACAACAATTGAAGTTGGCGACGCGAAAACTGCTAGCATCCACCTCGTTGCTTTGCTCAATCCTTTGAGTGAGCAAGCTCAGCGATGGGCACCTCTCCTCAAAGTCTTGTCTGAACTTGACGGCGTGCATCTCAAGTTGTTTCTGAACCCCAAGGAGAAGCTTGAGGAGCTTCCCATAAAGCGATTCTTCCGTTACGTTCTAGAATCAAAGCCCTCTTTCGATGATGGTGGCGCTATTAGAACCGGACAGGCTATTTTCAGTGGACTTCCTTCGGAAGCTCTTCTTACACTTGGAATGGATGTACCCCCTGCTTGGTTAGTAGCAGCTAAAGAGTCTATGCACGACTTGGACAATATCAAGCTATCTTCAATAAACTCCGACATCGACGCCAGTTATGAGCTTGAACACATTCTTATTCAAGGTCACTCCAGAGAAGGAAAGTCCAGCCCTCCTCGAGGCGCCCAACTTGTCTTGGGAACCGAGAGTGAGCCGCACATGACGGACACAATCGTCATGGCAAACCTTGGATTCTTCCAATTCCAAGCAAATCCGGGCATATACAATATTCACCTAAAGGAGGGCCGAAGTGCGGAGACATTCGAGATTGAGAGTGTCGGCGCACAGGGTTGGGCGGCTGTTCCGGGCGATGAAGGCACGTCTCTAGCCCTACTCGACTTTCAAGGAACAACGCTTTATCCTCGACTCCTTCGCAAGCCAGGCATGGAAGAGGTAGATGTGCTTGAACAAGCCGACCAAGTGACTGAGAACATAGTTTCGAAAGGCTTCAAACTCGCAGAGAGTTTCTTGGGCAACGTCTTGGGCAAGAAGTCCACCGCAAATTTGCAACACGCTGAAATCAACATTTTTTCCGTTGCGAGTGGCCACTTATACGAGCGCATGCTCAACATTATGATGGTCTCTGTCATGCGCCACACAAAACATACCGTCAAATTCTGGTTTATCGAGCAATTTCTGTCGCCATCATTCAAGGAGTTTATTCCTCACCTCGCTGAGGAGTACGGCTTCAAGTATGAAATGGTGACATACAAATGGCCACACTGGCTCCGACACCAAAAAGAGAAACAGCGAGAAATTTGGGGCTACAAGATTCTTTTTTTGGATGTCCTGTTCCCCCTTTCTATTGACAAGGTTATCTTCGTGGATGCGGATCAAATTATACGAACAGATATGATGGATCTGGTCAAGCTTGATCTTGAGGGAGCCCCGTACGGATTCACTCCCATGTGCGACTCCCGGACTGAGATGGAAGGATTTCGCTTCTGGAAGCAGGGTTACTGGGCAAACTACCTTCGTGGTCGCCCCTACCACATTTCTGCTCTCTACGTTGTCGATTTGCGACGCTTCCGCGAAATCGCCGCTGGAGACCGCCTTCGACAGCAGTATCAAGCTCTCTCTGCCGACCCGAACAGCTTGGCGAACCTGGATCAAGATTTGCCCAACCACATGCAGTTCCAGCTACCGATTCACAGCCTGCCTCAGGAATGGCTGTGGTGTGAGACGTGGTGCAGCGACGAGAGCCAAGGCAAGGCGCGAACCATTGATCTCTGCAACAACCCCGAGACAAAGGAGCCCAAGCTCGATCGTGCTCGCCGGCAAGTTCCCGAATGGACCAAGTACGACGACGAGATTGCGGCGTTCGCTCAGCGCGTCAAGGCGGCGAAGAGCCCCGACGAGGATGAACGACGAACAAATCTGGAAAGGAACACCAAGAGTCGGAACTTTGAGGAACGTCCTCACACCAAGGACGAGTTGTGACCGCAGGTAGTGTATGGTACTGCAGCGGTCGTGAGGTGATTGTTTGATTGCGCTACTAGACTAGAAATTTGGGGTGATGATTTATTGAATGCTCTCAAGGGCCATATACACACAGCTCACTTCAGCAGGTGAATTGATTCATTTAATATAAGGTGCATCGCCTGCTTCATCTCCTGCAGATTTTTAGCAGCCGGCTTTCGCGAACCGTTTAGAGTAAAGCAACGAAGGAACGGGCAAGAAGATGACACAGCAGCCTCCGTTGTTTCTTCGCGGGCAGCCTTCGCTTGTAGAGCAGTGGCTTCGGGTGGTGGCTGGCAAAGCAAACAAACGCCCTATGACGGAGGGTGAGAGATCCAGAGGAGAAACCGAAAAGACGCACAGTTCTCAGAATAATGCAGATCAGAACAATCCCGCGCACCTTTTGCCAATATCAAGGGTTTTGCGCCGACGATAAGATAAAGATTTGTCATTCTCGTGTGCCAACACAGAATAGTAGAACGGCATTCCATCAAATATGGAAGCAGTGGCAATCGTGTTGTAGAGCCGTTGAAGAAGATTCACTGCCGCCGAGGGTGTCTTCAGCCCACCGATAAAGCGAAGCCAACGTGGTTGAGGCACCAGTCAAGTCAATTGGTCAGAACCGCTTCCGAATGAGCATTAAAAACGCTGAGACAGTGACCACGAAGTCGAAGCTCCCAGCAGCATTAAACAGCGAGAAGAAATAAAACGGAAGAAGGGGATAAAGACGACTCGTGTATCGGATGTCGTGCGCCGACAGAATAGTCCAAACAAAGACACGACAATACTTTCGTGAAACATTGGTCGTCGCCGACGACGTCTGTTCAAGTTCAAGGTAAGCTCGTTTCACGCTCTTCCTGAATTGACGCCATCACAGTGCCGGCACTGGCGGCGCGAGTTGCTTGCTGATTAGTGGTAGGGGGAGATATGGCATCTACAGTGGCGGGTACATCAGTTGTCGCCGATCTCTTTACTTGGTGATCGGGTGTGTTGGCGCTTGCAGGCACCTCCTTGTGCATCGGCGACGAGTGTATTGGCGAAGCAGACTTCCCACTTTGGGTATCGCCATTGCGCACTGAGTTGCGCGGTGAAACTCTGCCCATCTAAAACAAAGCTGATTAGTTCATTACCTGCATCGGGCTCGTGAGTGACTTACTTGCTTAGCCCAGCGCAACCCACAGCTGTTGCAAAGATCTCGTTGGCCACTTGGTCCCCTACGCCATTCTGGCGTATTGCGCGTATGACAATTGGCACAATCTCGAATCACATTACCAACTCCCTTGCGCCTTTTTCTTTTTTTCTTGCTTGACAAGAGGCCACCGAGTTCTTCGGCTAGGATTCTGTTCACTTTCTCCATTTGACGCAGCTCGAACTGCCAACTGGAACATTTTGTTGTCCTCAGCTCGTCAAATATATTATCGTCGGATGCAAGTGCTTCCTCCTGATTTCCGTGTCCCAAACCACCTCCTGCGGGCTGAGATATCTGGCCATGTACGGATCTACTGGCGTTAGAACCCGCTGTTGAAGTGGCTGGTGCCAACGTTCTTGACGATGCTTTCAACAGCTTCGTCTGTGCAAGTAAGAAAGATGGCTTCTGTCCCTCAATAGCATCTCCAGGATAGAGTGTAGTTTGAGCTTGGAGGCCCTGGCCTCGCCTGTTCAGGACCTCATGTTTGCATGTCACGATCTTACCACGTCGCGCCTTTTCCAAAGTGCGGCCGAACTCGGGTCTCGAATCTTTGCGCATCAACTCTTGAATGCTTGTGGCGACAAGTGATTCCGGCTGCAAGTCAAGAAGGGACCGCACGTTCGATGATACGTAAAGAAAGGTGCCAGAAGTTGAAAGTTTGGTCCACATCTCGCTATCTCCGATGCCGCCATTGGATTCAATATTCCGACGACTGATGGAGAAGACAGGTCGTTTCCTGCCGACAAGTATTATACATTTGCGGCCTTTACCTTGCTCAACGTACAGGGACCCATGGCTCTCGAACCATGTGTACCCGCTCTGCTTTCTTCGGATCCTGAAAACAATATTGACTTGATCTCCAGTCGTCGCATCTTTGAGTTCTCGTGTAACAGGAACAATATCAGAAGGATGGCAAATAGATGATAGCGAGTTACCAACCAGTTCTGCGGCGTCATATTCAAGGACGCGTTTGCAGGCTGGGGAGAGATATAAAAAGAGGCCTTTCAACGAAAGGACCTGAATGACATCGTCACAGTTCTCGAGAAGCATCTTGTCCCAAGACTGTCGATGCCAATCTGATGCGATACCCTTCGCATTAAACTGTTGCAAAATGGTTGACACATCATCGACACCCAAAGTCTGGCCGTTGTCGGCCTCCCAGAACGCAGAGGATGGCGGCGTCCAAATATACTGACCAATATCGCTGTGCTTGTAATTAACGGCAACGCCACCAAATTCAGACCCGGCAATGGCGTCAGGACACTCAACCAAATCAATTTGAAAGCCAATGAAATAGCGGACCTCATCTGTATCCCAGGGTATTGGGATCATCGTAAGAAGGTTCAGGAACGGCTTGCCACCCTTGCGGTAGTTGATGAGACTTTGTTGAACCTCTTGTCTCTCTTGTATCATTTTCTTCAGATTGAAGACTGTACCATTGTCAACAAACTCGCGTTTGGTCCCGGCTTCGACTTTCCCATCAGGGGCTTGAAGGAAACGGCAGTTTTGACCAACAATATCGTGGCTACTGTATCCAGTCAAGTTTTGAAAGTTATCAGAGACATATATGATTGGGCAGTCATTCATGGATACGTCGCACACAACAAATGCGCACGACATGTCAACTGCTCCTAGATGGATCTTGGGGTTCTTCCTGGACGCAACGAGCCAGAGAGCCTTGAGCATATCAAAGCCACTCTTAGAGTAGATCGATTTTTCACGGGGCTCCTTGAGATTTGCTGTAGCGTTCGGGGTCGTGGCGACAGATGAAGTGCTTGGCTGAGTAGCTCCTGTGGATGGAGCCATTTCTTGGGCGGGCGAAACAGCGGAGCCGGCGGATAATTCATGACGGGGAAGCGATTGTATCGCTTGATCGACAGCAGGGGCCGACGCGCCAGTCCTTGCATCATGAGATGGATCCTGGGCAGTTTTGGCTTGGTTCATTTGCTGAGGAGCTGGAACTGTATTGTCCTGTGGGTTCGTGAAAGCGTTATATTGCGTACCGTTGTTGAATTGCATGGTCTCGTTAGAGGTAATGGAAAGCTGCATAGCGTTTGGTGAAATCTGGCCTTCGAGTACTGCACTCGAGCCCGGATCAGCGTTGGAGAACATTGCTCCCATATTTATATTGGCAAATTGAGCAGATACCAGGTTACCCATGGCATCGGGCGAGATACCCGGGAAGCTATTACCATCAGCTATGATGTTGCCCATATTGGAAGCATCCAGCATGGAGAAGTTGTTGAGCTGTTGCGGTGAAGGCTGAAATCCCATGAAGTTGCTAGACCCAGTTGCTGGTGGCGGATTCATAGCTACTCTGTCTGCCGCCAACGACAGTCGTCTGGCATCTACCGCATCCGACAACTGTTGTGGCGCAAAGCCAATAGAAGCGCTCGCGCGGCGCTGCAGTAGTGTGGGGTTGCCCATCATCTGGTTGTTGAATGTGTTGGAGCGCGGCATACCCGGTGGCATTTGTTGCTGCTGCTGCTGCTGCTGCTGCTGCTGCTGCTGCTGGTTCGGATTGTTTTGCTGCTGCCTTTGCTGCTCCCGAGGAGGGAGATGATTGGGAGGGTAGTATCCTTCCATCGTGACTGCATCTGAGCCCTGATCCTCTTCTCAAATGCGGATATAATCGGTCACAGCCCGGACCTAGTTCGTTGCGGTGTTTTTCGGTCGGGGCTGAAAGCTGACAACGCACATGAAGGCAATCTAGAATGCCGGTTGATGCCGTGGAGTGAATGCTCGGGAAATTGAGATTCAGATAGGTAAATGACGAATGATCTGAACAGTTATTCTGGCAGCCGTTAAAGCGACGGTGGCGTGTGACGGGATGTGCTGGCGGAGTAGAGGCGCACAATGGCACGCCTCTTGGGTGAATCCTTGGCGGGCAGAGCAGGTTTCGTATGGCGGTCACCAGACTCTCCAGGCTTTTGTAGCCGCTTTTATCGAAGGCCGTTGATCAGAAGTCGCGCAAAGTCTGCTACGCGGCGGTGTCAGACGAAGCCACGACTTGACAGTTGTATGAGCGCCGTGCTGATAGTTCGAGCCACGAAAGCCCATAGGTCCCGATAATAAATGATTACATATCGCCCACCACTGGCACAGCCCACACACACAACCCTTGCCCTCCCCCCCCCCCTTCTTCCCAGGGGGACCAAAAAGATCGCCAGTGTTGACACTCAGGACGCACAGAACAATAGGTACATCTTCCCTTTCGAGGTTCGACATATATTGATGGACTTTTTTAGCTAGTTCAACTCATTCATATATACTTTTATCGAGATTGCGTTGAACTGAGCCTTCTGCGTGTACCGGCCATCTTTTTTTATCCCCCACTTTCTTAGCTACCAGACATGTTAGGTAAGGAAGTAGTTAAATAGTTAGTAGTTAATTGGTTAGTATTCGGGTAGCGCGAGCACGGCATTTGGCACCGTACCTACATCCCTACTGTACCAACCGTACTAACAGGTACCAACCTAAACTTAGCCAGGACGTTCTCTGCCTCATACAATTTACCCATCGGGCCCGTGACAGGCTGCTACCTAGATGTATACAAGTATGTATATTACTCCGACGAGCTCGTAAGAGCCTTCGGTCCTTCTATGGTATATAGACTACTAGATATAGGGGAAAACCCTAAAATTCCAAGTAAAAACCCCTATACCCCTACCTCTTTTAGCATCTCTCTAGTATATAGTTACTACTCCTAGTATCTTTCTATCTTAGAGAAGTACTAAAAACACTACTATAAGTAAAAGTCTTCTTATAGACTAAATATTACTATAATATAGTAGATAATATATATATTCTAAGAGTTAATCTAATTATTATTAATATAGTAGACTATACCCTTATAAATATAAGGAGGACTA